CAAGCATGAGAAGTATATCATGGCAGTTGGCTGGGTAGGAGACAGGCAACTTTACACGAATGGTGGAATACCTCTAACGATATCTTCGCCATCCCGTCTAGGTATGCCTTTATCACTACTCTAGAACCTATGTCTAACGTCTAGATAGGGAGTCTTGCTAGTCGGAGATTCTGGATTCCTCACGACGAACTGGATGAATCAGAACCTTTCAAGCGTCAAGATACACTGAAGATGTGGCTGAACGAATGCAAAGACCACGAACAGTGCATGAAATCTCTTCCTAACACCAAGGAAGCAAAGCTCCCGACGCGCGTGTTGGACCTGAGTGGAAGCGTGGACATTCCATCGGATCCCAAAGACATCAAGATCAAACTACGAGAGACAGAGGAGGGAGAAACTGGAACTTACACGGCTCTGAGCTACTGCTGGGGTGCCAACCCAGATCTCCATTTCAAAACGACAAGCGAGAATTTCGAGAAGCACACAGAAGGAATCGACTTCTTCGACTTACCTCTGACACAGAGGGAGACTATCCTTGCTACGCTTTACCTGGGAATCCGATATCTTTGGATCGACGGCTTATGCATAATTCAAGACTCTCGTGAAGACTGGGAAGCCGAGTCAGTCAAGATGGGATCTGTTTATACGAATGCACATCTTACGCTCGCAGCTACTTCATCTGATACCCCAGAGATGGGTCTTCTTCTTCCCTTCCAAGGCGCCCAATGCGTAAAGATTCATGGAGAAACGATTAGTGTCCGCATGGAAACTCACCGAGAGCTTGATAGGATGTCTGAACCCTTGAACACTAGAGGCTGGACACTGCAAGAGGGCGTGTTGGCGTCGAGAATTGTCTGCTTTGGCAAGGAGCAGTGGCTCTGGAAATGTCCTGGTCGCTACGCCACGGAAGATGGACTGATCGATGTACCGCGAGACTTTGATGGTGGTCTGGTTCAGTGGGCTGATATTGTGCAGCAAGGCCCTGGAGAGGATGGAAACAATTATCTGCGACATTGGTATCGAATGGTGACAAACTACTCAAGTCGTGATCTGACTTACCAAAGCGACAAATGGAATGCCATCGCTGGACTGACAGAAATGTTCAGAAACTTGACTGGTTATACCTACCTGGCAGGTCTTTGGGAAGAAGATCTCGCAAATGGACTTGTGTGGGAAGCGAAAATGCGTGGGGTGATCCGTGAGCCGGGAAGCATCCCATCATGGTCTTGGATGTCCGTGAAAGGCGGGATCAAGGGATATGTACACACGACCCCAATGACCTCTATGATCGAGCTTTTACAGAGTGATTTGCAATGGGAAGGAACCCCGCTCGCATCACCTCTGAAAGTTGCCCGCTTGACAGTCAAAGGAAAGATCATCCAGGCAACATTGGGAGCGCGCTCTGTTACACAGGACTCTCGGCACCACGTTCTTGCAGCCTCGGGGAGTGACGAAATCTTTGGCGAGGCGTTTTTGGATAGCAAAATTCCTGATGGGGCTGAAATGCCGACTGTCTCGTGCCTTTTTGTCATGGAAGTGCCCGAGAAGGAATATTTCACATTGCTTCTCACACCAGCATCAGGAGGTGAAGAAGACGGCCACGATAAAGGTATGACAAGAATTGGTATTGGCGTTTTCTGGACTCGATCTAGATTTTACAGTAACAGGACTGAAGGAGACATGATTTTGGACAAGGCTTCAGAGGCCACAGTGGTGCTGGTATAGAAGGGTGAAATTCCATGGCGGTATTACTTTGTTTCCGAATAGAGAGTACGTACCGAATCAGGCTCCGAGTTTGGGAAACAATGGGTTGTTAGAATTGCTGCCTGAAATGTGTATATGCCCCATAATCATGCATTCTCCTCCTAGCTTGGTCCACTCGCAACCCTGCCTGGCTGAAACTTTGGGACGGCTGAAGCCGCTTCTCCGACGATCCTTGACCAACGTGCATAAGCTGAAAAAGTTGATGTCATAGTCTATCATGGCCTGAGTAGCGCGGAGAGTTCAGACTTGTTAACAATCTTGGAATTTATTTACTTAGGAGAGCTTTGCTGAACGAATGGTTCATAACAATAGGCATGAACATTCACTTCTTGGATTGACTGATGAAAAAGAAATGCGACTCGGGCTGCATGGTTCAAGTAGGCTGCATCCAGCGCATCGGTTACACAACGTATGTGATGTTCGGAGGAAATGAGACATGTCGTATTTATGTGCAGTGAAGCTGGCGCTTGCTCATTAACCTCACCAATCACAGTAGCCAGCTTCCGACAGCTATTGCTTTGTTTTCGCCTTGCCATTTTGCGGTGACAAGAGGCTTGACTCGTGAATTACAAATACCCCGTGGGTAATACAAAATAAAGAAAGCCTAAGTCACGCTAGAGGATACTCACTCAAGACACCATAACTTGAGCACTTCATCTCCAACCCATTGCCCAAAATGCGGTTACACGACTCACAGCTCGGAGACGCATACCAGGATAAGAAGAAGGACGAGGTTAGAACTCGCCTTGGGGATGAAAATTGGAACGGGTGAGTACTACTTCACGTAGAAATCCAACCAGCACTGAAAGGTTACAGGCCCACGGAGCGAGGACCTTATTTGAAGTATGTTGAGAGCCTGTTAAGGAGATGGCCGCAGCTTGAGCTGTTACATGATTTCATGGAAGTTGGGACTGTGCCTACGCGTTGGTGTATTTTCCCAGGAGAAGAAAAGGAGAAGAATGAGCAAGGCCGCTATGTATATGATTCTAACATCGAAGGTGAGCATCAACACGTTTAAAGTAATTCGACACTGACCTTAAAACCGAAGAGAGAAGAAGACAACAAGAAGAAAGAGCCACGAAGATGAATGTCGCGTGCCTGACATTCAAAGAAGATGGACAGGCAGAACAGCACCCAGACAAGAACCTTCATAGGTCTGAAGATCTTAAAAGCGCTATTGAAATGGCAAAAAAGCCTGAATCAGGAGTCAAGTTCAGCTTATTTGTCGTCGAGGACCTTTCACGAGACGTGATCGAAATCCTTGGATCTGAGCTAGCTATTGATCCAAGATTCTTCCGCGCTCATATTACCGAGTATGTCTGGAACAACATCCGCGACAGATGGCGCGAGCCGTCAATACTTCAGGTTGATGCCGAAAGACAGACGTGGTTTCAGCTTCGCTTGATCCGTTCTCGGTATTTTGAGAATCAAAGCCAGCTTGCGGAAGCAAAAGAACAAGTCGACGAGTTCAATGTTGTGCGACGCCTTGACGCAGATAAGAACCAAATTTTCTGGGATAAGGATCCAGATCCTACTATATGGGAAAGGCTTGCAGGAAAGTCTTCTCAATATAAGAGCCGAGTTGATGCAAAGGTTGGACATATGCGCAGTCGTGCTACGTTTTGGTTAAACCCAGAATCAACTATCGGTAAGCATACTGATTTAGGTCAGGAATCCCAGGCTGACCATTGTCAAAAATAAGGTGTTCTTTTACTTGAACCAACTCCGGAAGCCGGGTATCCTCTTTGGCGGGGATATCCCAACTGGGACGAGCTTCCTGCTTTCGGAACCACCGATGCCCCTCCAGACGCAGTGCATGACCTTAAGATCCCGCCATCATTGAGATCCAAGGATGCTAGAAACCCAATGAGCTGGTTCGAAGACTACATTTTCTGGGCCAAGAAGAGCACCAATTTCTCGAAGCCTAAAGATGGTGCGAATCAACCACTTTCCATTCCGATCCAGTGCTTGTTGCACTTGGTATGTGGCGAGTGGCTGACGTTCGCTGACTATCTTAACGCCCGGCTCAACCAAATCGACTGGGGAATCGTGAACCCATCATTCTTCCCCGAGTCTGGAGGCACAGACCATCAGAAGCAGAGTCTTAGAAAGCTCCATTTCTGGCGGCGATGGGTACCCCAAGCACGGGATATGCTTCAGGCAACCATGAGCCAAGTCCTGGATGATAAAGGAAACGAGGTTGACAAGTCTTTCAAGCTTTACCAAGATGATTTGGAGATTATTAAGAAACGCTTGGAGGACTACGAAATGCGGATCGACCGTCTCAGCACCGTTGTCAACTCGACCATCAGCCTGACTGATGCCAGCAACACATCCAAACTCACCATACTGGCATCGTTTTTCATCCCGCCGAGCTTAGTGGCTGCACTATTATCAATGAACATGGATCCACTGATTGGGCTTGGGAACTCGCTCAAATGGTGGGCAGTGGCGTCTGTCGTGGCTGTGACGATTCTTTTCACCATAGGATATCTCTTGAAGACCAAGAAGGCGGAAAGCTTGAAAAAGAACTTGTCAATTACGAAACTGGTTTCCAAGTTGGAAGCACGGTGGAGGAACAGGTCACAGCCAAGTAAGGGTGCGAATGGTTCAGCTTGTTGAGAGACAGAATTTATGATTATGTTTAAAAAGGCCTGGCCTTACTTGGGTCAGAGTGAGGGGAGGAAGTGGGGAGGCGTGGGACTGTACACGGCCATTTAGTCGATGAGGTTGGAATGGATGGGGATTCACTGTCGTAAACCTAGCCACTTGAAATCGTCAAAGAAATTGAGGCCTGCCATGAAGGGAAGCTCGTATTATGCACGCCAAGCTACCAGGATATATCACAACAGTCAACGTGCAGCGCTAGCGGTGATGTTTGTAGATCAGGGAGTGAGCTACGTTGCCGATTGGCGCAGCCCAATAAGATCCCTTGATATGTGCCGTGGCAAATACTGACTTCCTTTTGCCCATCCACTGGTTCCAAAATGTTTTCTGAGAGACCTCCATCAGAGTGCCAAATATGTCTAGATATTGTTAATACTCAATGAGGGGAAAATGGAATGTATCAGAAGTATTACTACCTACACGGAGTATTCAAAACCGACAGGCTTTAAGTAGTAAAATAAATTCCGCGTTGACGTAGTTATAAGAATTCGATCTATAGCCATCTAATTACACTTGTCTATCTCTTTCCCCATCTATAGTCTATACGGGTATAAATTAACAACAACGCATCAGAGCTTTGCCCTGGCGTGCATAACAGGACAACCATTTGTCTTGGCCCCTTGCCCAAACTCTGCATTTGTCGAGACCGAATCACTCTTCTTTGGCGCGCTTCTATATCCTCCCTTCTCATTATCGCTGTTTGTGATGTTCCCCTCTGCGTCTCTTGCTATTCCCAGCTCCAGCAGCTTGGCAAATGCTGCTTTGAAGTCGTTGAAGAACAGCTCCTTGTCTTCGGCATAAAGACGGACGTACTTGGAGAACTCGGGGTCTGTTGTCAGAGCTATATCGGTTGGAAGCATCATCAACTCCTCTTCTGTGTCCGGGTCAACAGAAGAGAACTGAAGAACACCAGATTCGGGGACTGTCTTTTCAGTCCACTTCTCAGACAGCAGGAGGCGGAAATATTGATTCGAGAATCGTGTCGGGTTGTTGACCCATTTGCCCTCGAATCCCGAGTTTTCCGTGTGGCATCGTCCAAGACTGTGCGCGCCACTGAGGGCTACAATCTCCCGGTCGTTGAATCCCATTCGGTAGAAGATGTCTCGGATATGGTCTGCTCCTTGAGCCGCATCAGGAAGACGACCGCGAGGTGGAAGCTTGCTGTCGTCGGTAAAGTCTGTCCGCCCCGGAAGCCAATCGATTTCCGGACCGCCCATGGCTCGGATGGCCGTTACACCGGCAAGTGTCCATAGGTCTGAGTATGTGATCCATGGGTGAAGACGCTTGATGGGCTCTAGGAAGAGGCGAGCATTCTGAAGGCCGGCGTTGGCGGGATCGCCACCCTCGGCCTCGTAGCGCATGCCCGCGCCGTTTGAACCTCCAGTATCTGTTGTTACGTCATATGTGCCAGAAGAGTGCCTAAAGACTACCTTAATTATGAACCGATGTTTGTCAGGTTTGTTTTAGACTTACCAGGCTAGGCGCACAAGAACAGGGCCAGCACTTCCATCGTCATAGTCAGGCTGGCGGAGAAGATCAATGACAGACTTTCTGACAGCTTCGAAGTCACCAGGCCTTGAGACCTGGGTTTCTGGTAGCGGCTTATCGATACTGGCCATCTCGAAAAGGCTCGGTGGAGAAAATTAAGGAAGAAATTTACGTGATAGGGTATAAAATAAACAAATCGTACACTGGGTCAGAATCTAATTCCAAGGTCAGAGATACAGGATCTTAATAGAAGGAAGGAATGACTACAAATAGAAAAGTCGAAGTGTCAAAGGATATTAAACATAAAAATCAGGAGACATTCTCGGTGCCATGTGATTGTAAATTAGACCAAGGCCCACAAGCAAAAGTCGTGATTGTGGGTCGGCAAAGACTGCCGAGGTAGATTGATAAGGATCAAGCCGAGGAACTCATATCTTCAATCAATCAAAACGAGATAAGAGAAAAAATTAAATAGGTCACTCTATGTTTGTTCTTCAATTTTTGCTTCGTCTTCGCCACATTTGCATCTCAATGTTGCTCCAATCTCTCCAACTACCCCAAATAAAAAACTCCCCTTCGCCCGGTTGGTCAACCTCGTCCCCAAATCGGCTAGCTCTGTCGACTCCAACTCTTTTCGAAGAGTCATATTATCTTCCTGTCGCTACACCTAAAATCCTGGATTTTTGCCCTCGAAGTTGGAATCTTTCTGACTGCTATGCTTTGGTGGTGAATATGAGCGCTCAGCCGCGAGGCCCAACTGGACATAACACGCTTTGACCAGGTACTACCAGCGAAGCTGTACAATTGACAGGCTGTGATGGTCAGTAAGCCAATCTCTTACTGCTATACTTTCCATGCTCGTCACCACATTTCCATGAACATGAAAAGAATTACTTCTTCGCGATATTATTATATTAATTTAGAATTTATAATTGTATTTCCTTTGACATTCATTGAACTCACTTCAAGAGCGAGATATCACTCGTCGCTCTAATCACCATCCCATTTCCACCAATCGGAGGATGTCGTATTGTGAAACGCTACCAATCTTCCGGATGAAACATCTTGGCAAAGACATTGAGGGTCAGGGTGATCAATTTAAAAGCTAAAGCGCCCATGTCATGGAAGTTTGATAACTTGTGTTTCCTGTTTTCCTCCGATCTTTTGTTCTTTTCGTTGTATTATTCTTAAAAATGCGGTCCTTTCCTCAACTTTTGAGTCTGGCAGCTGGACTGTCCCAGGCGACAGCTACCCCTGTACTGTCCAGAGCTGCTGGTGCTGCCAAGAACCTGGTTGTCTTGTAAGTTTTCTCTTTGTCGAATTGTTGAAGCTATCATTCTTATGAATCCTAGTGGCGATTCATACTCGACTGTTGGCTTCTGGCCCGGGGGCGACTTGCCTAGCGCTGGCAGCCCTCTCGGAAATCCCGCTCTACCAGGACAGACAACAGCAAATGGATTGAACTGGGTGGGCCAATTAACTAGCGTGCTGAATACTTCTACGGTCTTGACTTATGACTTTGCTGTCACTGGCGCTACAGTTGATAAGGAAATCGTCTCGACATATGCACAGTACTGCGTTGATGATCAAGTGGCCCAGTACAAAGAATATGTCGCAGACAAAATCAGTTCTGCAGAAACACTTGTCGCCGTATGGATCGGTATCAATGATCTCGGTGAACCATTCTGGAAGAAATCAGCAGCGCCAATTGAGAAGACTATGGATCGGTATTTCGAGCTTTTGAAGACGCTGTCCGAGACTGGATTGAAGAAGTTCGCCCTCCTCACTGTTCCTCGTAAGCCGCTTCTCCCTAATCCATAGCCCAAAACTAATATCGTACCAGCGTTCGCGGACCAAATTCCGGCTATGATCGGCCAGTCCGAATCAGACCTCAAAACGCTTCGCGCAGACATCATTGCCTATAACAAAGTTTTGACTGAGCGCGCTGCTACCTTTTCAAAGTCTGGCTCAGGTATCGAGGTGACCGTGTTTGACACGAAACCTACTTTTGACACCGCAGTCAAGAACTTCAAAGAGTATGGGGCCAAGGATGCGACATGCTATGGTGGAAACGAGTGCCTCTGGACTGATACATATCATGCTGGTGTCGCTATTCACAAAGCTCTTGCCAAGAATTTCGCGGAGGGTGTTAGTAAAGTTTTCGCGTTCTGAGCATTGAACATTGTAGAATAGTTGCGCTGGTAGAATCACTCAATTAACCTTACAGCATCCTTGTCGGAGAACGCTAGTCTGTTGGTTTTGGATGAACACATCGGGGTATTTAGCCGAGCCAGCATGTGAAGTGCCCCTCACGTTCCAATCACGACATGCAATTTTATCCCTCACCTATTATTATTACTGTCGACATAATGGCTGATCCTATCTCGACTGCCGATCCCGTGGCGCTAGAAGTTGATGAGGCTGATACCAACACGGCTAGCGATACTGACTCTCTTGGTTCAATTGAAGGGAGCTCCACTTCGTCAATTACCTCAAGCATTCTAAAGTATCGCCAGGAGAATGGCCGCACCTATCACGCGTATAAGGACGGCCAGTATGTGATACCCAACGACGAGCAGGAGCAGGATAGGCTCGATTTGCAACATCATCTTTTCCTTCTCACCTTTGATGACAAGCTCTATTTATCGCCCGCTGGTCGAGAAGGTCGTCAACTACACAATGTTCTCGACGTTGGGACAGGCACTGGACTCTGGGCTATGGACTTCGCCGATGAGCATCCCAGCGCTTCGGTTATCGGCATTGACCTCAGCCCCATCCAGAGTCCTTTCGTCCCTCCAAACTTGAGCTTCCAGGTCGACGATATTGAAGAGCCGTGGACATTTCATGTCAAATTCGATTTCATCTACAGTCGCATGATGACTGCATCCATCGCTGACTGGCCCGGCTTCTTCGCCAAGGCCTATGACAATCTCAATCCCGGCGGCTGGATCGAACTGGCAGACATTTATCCAATTACCAGCGATGATGGAACTCTCGCAAAAGACTCGGCAACTCATGAATGGGTCACCAAATTGTTGGACGGCACAAAGATGATTGGAAGACCATTCGATGGGGCGAATAAGTATAAGGAACAGCTCGAAGCCCAGGGCTTTCAGAACGTCCAACAGGTCGTGTTCAAGTGGCCTCAAAATACTTGGCCAAGAGACAAGAAGCACAAGGAGCTTGGTAAGAATTAATCTTTGCTCCAGTTCTATAGGTTTCTGAATGTGCTGACCGCGTGTAGGTGCTTGGAATCTGCAAAACATTAGCTCTGGCCTTGAAGGTCTTAGCTCTGCTGTCTATACACGTGTCCTCGGTTGGTCTAAAGAAGAGCTGGATGTATTACTCGCCAAGGTTCGCCGCGAATTGAAAGACAGAGCCATTCATTCTTACTGGCCTATGTAAGTCAAAGAACCATATTGGCAGTGCACTGAGCTAACCTAGCGAAGATACGTTGTATATGGGCAGAAGCCAGAAAAATGAAGTGCTGCCTTCCTATAGCACGCGGTGTTTCTCTCTTGAACTAGCAAAGTTAAATGGCCAGAATATTATTGAGCTCCTTCTGACTGAAACTCAGTTTGATTTTCGTCATGTAGATAATTCCAAGATACAATATTCTATCCTCGCCTTGTCACACCCGTTGAACTTCCTCAGATTCTATCAACTGCATGGTCTACTTCGGAACGAACTTTTCCAGAGTCCTAGTGATAAGGTTGTAGGTCGAGTTCCTGTCCAAACTCAGGTACAAGTCCGAGCCCTCATTGAAGCTACCCCAAGCAGTCCATCCATACCAGACATCACTGTTGCGATCGAGGAATGCCAGCATAGATTGAATCGTGTCAGCACACTGGGGGAAAGGTCCACCTCCAAACTCTGTGACCATTCCTTGAAAGCCATTGCGGCGCAAGATGCGAGTGACTTCTTCAAACCTCTTGACGAAACCACTCCAGGGCTCGCAGAGACCATATGCGCCAGCGATATCGTCAAAGTACTGGTGGAAGTCGTAGAGAGTGTTGTTGGCGGGGTCTTGAATGAGGCCGGGACCGATGCCTGGTTGAGAGAAAGCTTCCCAGTCAACGAGACGAGCAAATTGTGTTCCTGAGACAAGAATCTTCTGTTTGTCGGTGACGTTTCGGATTGCAAGAATTGCCGCCTGGTTGGTTGTGCTCCATTTGGCAATGTCGAGATCATGAGCTAGAGAACTGTCAGTTTGACTACGGGTAACGGACTATCGGTTAAGAGATGCTCGAAGTTTTACATACGCTCATTCATGAGTTGGAAGATGACCTTGGGGTTTGATTTGTACCTTTCGGCAAGCCTTGTCCAGAGATCGGCAAAGAGGTCGTTCGTAACGGTGATGTTGGGATTGAGGAATGACACTTCAGGTTGGTCAATCACGGCGCAGTACCAACGTGCATAGTTGTGCTAGAATAGTAAGCTTTTGAATATTGGAGTTGGTATACTGTCTTAACATACAATATCCAGGATGGCTTGTCCACCGTCATCGGTAATAGCCCTTACCAGCTTGTCAACTGCTTCCATGTTGGTCTCATTCAGGCTGCCCCCAAGCGACGTCTGAACATGTTGCCAAGCCATAGCAATTCGAAATAGATTGAAGCCTTTGTCGTGCCATGACTTGTAGTCTTCAACGGTGTTTATGTATGGATAGCTGTGATAACTTGGCTTGCAGGACAGGTCGAGGAAGGTGTTGTAAGCTGATCCGAGGATGTTGACATCGTTGGCGAGACCAAACAAGTTGACACTGCACATGTAAGTTAGTTTCTCCTTAGGTAGATGATCAAGTTAAACCTACCCTGCCCATTTTACTTGGCTAGCAATGGTAGTTTGCACTGCGAAAAGCAACGTAAAAGTCTTGAGCTGCATGATGACAATGAAAGAAAAGACTTTGGTCATTTCATCGACTTGACTGAGACTGCGAGAAGAGACTACTTTATAATAATCTTGCTGCAGACGCGCTCATGATTCAATAATTTCTTGGATCAGTGGCAGTGCCATATCCGAGCTTAACTAACACTTCACCTCGCGCTCCAGTTCCTGAAAGAGTAGTCTGAGATGACGATCCGTCAGCTTCGGCGGAGCCACGCTAGAGAGCACCTCGCGATCCGGCCCCACCACGGAAGCTGAGAATCCCGCTTTCTTACGATTATCCGGAATCACCGGCACATATGATCAGTGGGTGACTGTTGTAGAATTCCATTGGAACAACGGTCAATTACCTCAATGAACACCTTCCAGCCTTGCCCAATGCTACCCGTAGCGGCAATCAGTGCGTTAATGGCGAGCGCTGGTGAAGCTCAGGGCGGACGGGCAAGCAAAGCAGTTCTCAATATTTCTCTAGAATCTGCGCCCCAATGAATAGCCCTTTCGTAGTAGATATCTTTTCCATAACTCCTGCAACCCATTTCTGCAAGATCGGAATACCGCTCAGGTGATTATAAGCGACTTTCAGTGGGAATAGCAAGTTGAACGCTCCCGATGCACCACTTTCGTTCTGTAACATATAATCAACGCATTGACATATCGCCTGTGCGTTGCGGTACCGGTTTTCATGGTTCCAGAACACAAGCTCCGATGCCTCTGGAAATCGACTTTCGTCAGGAGACATACCTGCATCGAAGATGCAACAGTTGTCTGGCAATGATATCAACTGCCCCAATATTGAATGCAATATCAAGTGAGTTGTGTTGAAGGAAACAAATTCGATGGCTCTTTCGAGATCAGAAAAGTATAGGAATTGCTCCAGTGTGTCATGGGGTAGTTCTGATGATCCGTGTACCCTCTTCTGTCTCCAGCAACTATGAGGATACATAAAGTTCCATGAGATTCGTAAAGAGTTGAGCTGCTCAAAAGAAGTCTGCAGCTTTTGACTTATAAATTTTGTAGACGACGGGCAACTCTTCGCATCCGAAAGACTATCGAGATCCTCCATCATTCCAGGGATGTCGCACAAGATATCTTGTAAGAAATCCCCAATCGTCTTGGACATGGGTTGCAATGCCCATGGTATATGCTTCCACTCATCTTGTTCTAGAAAGATGCGTTTTCGGTTGACCATAGCACCGATAGACTGAAAGGCGTTAGCAATAGGTCAGTTGTAAAGTAAATTAACTTACTATGAATGGTCTGTTGATCTGTAGAATGGGCTTTGCCGCGTCCATCTGGAATCCATAAGGTCCTGCTATTTCCGTCTTTCAACGTTAGCGAAATCTAATCAACAATTGCTGCAAGGCTGCCGTACCAATGCTGCAACGCCATGGCAGTGTCGTAGCCAGTTTGACATGGAATCAGAAGATATCATCTCATATACACCAAGAAACAGCGCACTCCATATGGTGGCATGAGGGAGAGGCCTCGACGCTTCAGTCCTCGTTCCAAGATCGACCTTTAGCTTTTGGGTAGCTTTTCCATACAGTGTAGAGGCATGGATTCTCATTTCAGGTATACAGTGCACAGTAGAGAAGAAGGCTTCTGCAACACATAAGCCTGACATACCTGCTGTTGAATCTGCCTCGCTTGAGAAAAGATTGAGGATCGATGATCCGTCTTCGAGAGGTGACTTGACCAGTACAAACAGGTTTTTGACGAAGAAAGATATGACTACTTCATTCTTGAAGCCATGCAAGTCGATTGTGACCGGCATTTGCTTGAAGTCCCCCCGTTGAGTCAAGGCATCGGGAGACTGAAGCTCGGCATCTTGAGGCCGGACAGTTTTGGCAGCATCATGTAAATGATTTACAAATACAAGCTTGTCATCGTATTGGCATGGATGGAAGCCTTTACTGCACCTTTTACAGGTTGGTCGCTGTTCATCTATGGTCATCAGCCGTGAACAGAATTCCTTGAAGACAATGACATACCGCATTTGACCCTGCGTTTGCGGCACGTCAAGCATCCTTTACTGCGCCGAGGTTGCGTCCGTGGCTGGACACTCAATGCTCTAAAGCCTTTTGGCTGCGAAGACATGTCCTCGTCTCCAACGTTGACATGTTGGCGTGTTGAAGTGCAGGACTACCATTTTCGCTTGTGAGGGCCTTTTGCGACTGGAAAAAGTGGGAAGAGGTCCAGGCGGAGTTATGCATTTCCTATTTGGATGTAGTATCAAAATTGGCAAACTGCAGATGTTGATTGGTTCATCCGTCCCGCGAGTTGGTCTTCCATGCTCGGGCCTCATACGTCATCGAAATGATCTATTGGTCTCCTTTCCGACGCTGGTTCAGCTACACAACGCAGATACAAGATCAAGAGTTCTGATAAGTCATTCAAACCGGGTAGAACCCTTGTTGATAAACAGAAAAGGGGGCAGAATACCACCCAGTCAGTGTTGAAACTGGTGCAACTTGATTGGTCTGTTCGGTAGCTCACAATCCGGGTATCAAATATCCAGACGCTAACGCAGGGTGATGCGGGGGAGAGTCAAACTTCTCGGTAGACACGAATGATAGCAGACTCGGGATACATGCAACTGCCTATCTTCTGTGTCCTATCTTATCTCTTATACAAAGTATAAACAAATAATTCTAAAGAGTCAAGCATAAGATTCTATTACCTCCAAGCGCACTTCGCGTTCACAATCTAGCTTGTACGTGGATTAAATCTCCACTACCCTAAGCTGGCCCACAGAAGGGAGGCTCAATTCATGAACCCTGATGATATGAACCACGGATCTGCAGTGGTGCAGGTGCCATTCAGCTTGCGTAACCCAATGCTATCTCAACAATGAAGCCTCCGTCCATCTAACGACATCGAGACCGTTCGATGGATGCATTTATCACAGCTTTTGACGATGCTTCCCAGGACTGGACTAGTGACACCACCGATCTAGCTTTATCAGCTTTAGCAGTGAAGCTCGGACTCTAGCATGCCAATCGTTCCGAGAGGGTTACAGATAAGCTATCGTGCTTTGGGAATAGCTTCTTCCCCTCGGATTCATTAAACCTTCCGTTGCCCTGGGCCTGGGCAGCAACGACAGTGGAGAACTTGCAATTATTACCCCAGATTCTATCACCGCGGCTCCTTGTTTTCTCACACGATCACGCATTAAGAATTCAAGTCTCTGAATCACGTATTTGATCATGTCTACGACGGCTGTTTATTCTGCCCCACCTAACCCCAGGAAGCGGGCTTCGGTAGCCTGTAACGGCTGCCGGGTCAAGAGAACAAAGGTAATGCTCCCCTCCCTGCACGAGTTGAGCCTCAATACGAACGATGACGTTGCATGCCCTCAATCTATTTGACAGTGGCTGACTCGAGCTTCACGTAGTGCGATGGCAGTCAGCCAAGATGCAGCGCATGCTACGACCGCCAACAAGACTGCGAGTATACCCAGGCTGAAAGCAACAGAAAGTACGTCAACACAGCTTTATGGCAGAACTTACACTAACATATATGGATAGACGACATACAAATGCATATATAAACGCGTTGGAAGCCCGTGTCGCAAGCTTGGAGAAACAACTCGCCCAGCGCAATGGTGATCCTGGGACGCCAGACTCTGCAAAGAACAGTAGCTGTGACCATGAGGAGGTGGCCTTCGTAAGCACTACCCAAGCTTCTCAACCGGAACCAAACAGTACCACAAGCGAAGAAGATATGGATGATCTCGCAAACGCTCTTGGGTGCTTCACTCTGGGTGAAATTGGAGAGCTGCGGTATTTCGGCGCATCCAGCAACTTTTCCATCATTCCCAACCACTCTATTAAGGTTCCATCGTCGATCCAAGCCAGACTTCGCGGCATAGAGGCCGCTGAAAAAATGTCCGATTTCATCACGCCTTCTGACGAGATGCGCGATCACCTACTGGAGATTTTCTGGCGATGGCAGAACTGTTGGCAGTACATCGTCCCAAGAGAGCTATTCGTCAGGGATCTATACGTCGAGAAGAGTGGTCGGTACTGCACGCCTTCTCTAATGGCGGCGATTTTAGCAATGTCGTCGCGGTACTCTCCGAGATTAGAGCTTCGAACTGATCCCGATGACGCAAATACGGCTGGTGAAGCGTTTGCTGCTCAAGCCAAGACTATGCTTCATTACGAATGTGAAGCGCCAACGACGTCGACGGTTCAAGCAACAGCCCTCCTGGGCCTGTACTGGGCAACTATTGACAATGAGGGTCTCGGATTCCTGTACATCGGCATGGCGACCAGGATGGCCATGAACCTGGGCCTTCATTGTGATTGCTCACCGTACGCTTCCAAAGGCTTAGTATCCGCTGATGACGTGGAGGCTAGGAATGTCACATTCTGGGGTGTATATTTCTTAGACAAGTAAAACCACCGAAGAGCACTGACGTGTTTCGAAAACTAACGATGAGAATAGACTTTATTGCCTTGGTATGGGCCGGCCGGCCAGTATCCAAGAGTACAACATCACAACGACCAAACCAAAAGGACTTACCCAACATAGCCCTCTCTTATCTGACTATCAGTATGGAATATCCGCTCCGTATCCGACAAGTCACATTCTGGAAAACTCGATGTATACTTGTGACCTTGTGCTCGCTACCTCGGAGGTTATCGACCAGCTGTGAGAAACCTCTACTTAAGTGGCAAGGGATGGCAGCTGACGTTATACAGATATGCACAGAGATACGCGTGGACTGATAAAGAAAGAGAAGACAGAGTTATGAAAGCTCATCTCCAAGCTGTCGGACTCTTTGACCAGTTGCCGAAAAGCTTGAAAATCTCGAGTTCCAGTCTTCAATGTTCTCCGCCATATGTCTATCAGTTTCAGTGAGTAACTATGGATCTGGTAAGGGTGTCTTACTGACGGCTATTCTCCAGTTTACAATACCACCATGCAATATTGCTACTTCATCGACCATTCTTTCAGCTTCTCAACCCTGGCAAGAGCACCATCGCCTATGATCCAGAGGGAGGAGATATTCACTCAAAGTCCTGCAGGGAATCAGCCGTCAAGATGGCTAGGATTCTACAGATATTCAGAAAGAATTACACAATGGTATGTGATCATCTGATCTTAATTATCCCAGCAAACTGACAACGCATAGCGAAATATGCCTGTCTCAGGAGTCCACCCAGCCTTCACTGCAGCAATCATCCATCTTCTTCACATTAAGTCAACAGGAAATTACGGCAGGAGCGAGGCTATGAGATGTCTTTACATATGCGTGAAATCTCTGTACGAGATGAATGTGAATTGGAATTGGGCTAATCGGTCCATTCGAGCGATTTTGTCGCTGGCTAGGGAATGGGAAATCGACATCTGGGCACATGGTCTCGCACAAGAGATCAATGAAGAGAGTAGGAGACAATTTGAACGGTATGAAATGGACGATCTTGTGGTTTTCCATGATCAGGGCTCGGAGGGTAGCTTTGAGCATGTTTATTCGCTGGACGATATTTTCGAGTCTTGGACGTATGACCAGTGTTTTGGGGAGTCATCTCTGGACTTTTTTGTTTAGCTTAGGACTTTAATGAGGTCTTGTCTTCGGTACTACTAGTCTGATTATATAGCTTAATCCAGTTCTAGGATATTGATTATCCTGCTTCCGACATGAGCGAGGTCTGACACGTAACCAATCGCATATTGACTGTGGCCTATTGTGGAATTGCGGATATCATTAATCCGGCGTGCGGAGATTAAGTTTGGCATATCTGGGGTAAATGGGGTCTAGGAGAGGAATTATCCGGGAATCAATCACCCGACCGTGATGATCGCCAGGTAATCTGATATCCGGATAGACCCCTCAAACAATCCCCACCAAGGACAGATAGATGCTGAGATAGGAAATATCGTCGCATCTTTGCCATAATACAAGTATCAGCCTCACAAGTATAAATAGAGGAGCAAATCACCCTCAAATTCCTCATCTCATCATCCTTCTCAGTCCAACACAAGCACCAACAACACAACCACCAACACAAACTCACAACCTCAACTACAATCTATCAAGATGTCCAAGTCCCTCAAGGTCGCCGCCATCCAAGCCGAGCCCGTCTGGAACGATCTCCAGGGCGGTGTCAACAAGTCCATCGGTCTCATCCAAGAGGCAGCAAAGAACGGTGCCAACGTTATCGGCTTCCCTGAAGTCTTCATTCCGGGATATCCATGGTAAGTACAAGACTTACTAAACATGGACAGATCAGCTTATTCATTTCTAGGAGCATCTGGGCCAACTCGCCTACCGAGAACGCACCATGGATCAATGAGTACTTCAAGAACTCAATGGAGAGAGAGTCACCTGAGATGGACCAGATTCGAGCTGCTGTTCGAGAGGCAGGCGTCTTTGTAGTCCTTGGATATAGTGAGAGATACAGGGGAACTCTTTACATCGCACAGGTGAGTTGTGCTACCAATTGGACCTTTCGGTCTGCTGACGGGATAAGTCCTTCATCGACGAGACCGGCACTATTGTTCTTCACCGCCGCAAGATCAAGCCCACCCACGTTGAGCGTGCTATCTATGGTGACGGGCAGGGCGAGTCTCTGACCAATGTCGCCGACACGAAATTCGGCAGGGTTGCTGGTCTTAACTGCTGGGAGCACACCCAGACACTTCTCCGCTACTATGAATACTCCCAGGATGTCGATATTCACGTCTCCAGCTGGCCTTCTCTCTTCCCCCGGCACGTCCCCGAGTGGCCATACCATATCACTCCCGAATGCTGCAAGGCCTTCTCTCACGTCGTCTCCATGGAGGGAGCCTGCTTCGTTCTTCTGGCAAGTCAGATCATGACTGAGGAGAACCATAAGAAGGCAAACGTTGAGGGCTATGACTATACTAAGAAGTCTGGCGGTGGCTTCAGTATGATCTTCTCGCCTTTCGGAGAGGAACTTGTCGAGCCCCTTGCTCCTAACGAGGAGGGTATTCTTTACGCTGATATCAACCTTGAGGAGAAGTACAAGGCGAAGCAGAACTTGGACATTGTCGGCCATTACTCGCGACCCGACCAGCTGAGCCTTCGCGTCAACAAACATGCTGCCAAGCCTGTCTTCTTTGCCAACGACCTGTGAGCTCATGGATCTAATTCCTCGCCGAACGGCTCTTGCTTACAGGTCGCAGTTCGGTGGACCAATCGCAAACCCATGGTAGTCTTGCTTTTAGGACCAATTAGTTTGAATAGCGCAATTAAATACTTACAATCCTCAAGACTTCAGTGCCGTGATGCTTCTAACCGTACTATGACCAGAAAGAGGGTAAGCCATTTCTCAGAGAGATAGATGTGATAGTTAAACTGGCTTGTATTCATCCCTAAAACAATAAACTACTATGTAACCAACTCGTCTTGTTCAGTAAACGTAGAAGAAGTTAGGATTGTTCCTATCCGTCATGGTATCCGGATCAACCTCTCCACTCTGACCAATATCCTGCGAAACTCTCCCCTTTCTATTTCGAAGGCCATAAAGAATTCTGGTAAGAATAGTAACGACCACGGAGCCACCGCAAACACAGAAGACGGTGATCTTTGCTGGGATGAAGCTTGGCGCATCTTTCGCTTGGAAAGTCTGGGGGCCAATGATATTGGCAATGGAGAAGCCAACAGCGACGATGGCGTTGGTAGTGACTTTCTTGGTGTACCCTTGAACGTTGGCTCCGACAAGAGCATAAATCAGTGCGAGAGGTGCAACGTCGAAGTTGATCAAATAGATACCAGCGAGGGAGCCGGCTTGACTGCTGGAGTAGAAGGACATGAGTCCTGCACCAATCAGAGTTGGGACCATGAGAAGGCAAAGACCCAACCATCGCGGGAACCCGTAGAGAATGGCGAAAGTGCTGAGTAAAGTGGCCGACACTGATACAACGCCAGCAGGCATGTTGAGAAGGGCGGCCTGTTTGGGGTCGTATCCGAAGCCGCGGATCAGAGTAGCAGAGAAGGTCGTGATGATGCCTGATGGGATAACGATGAGAATAGTGTTAAGGAAAAGCAACCAAACTTGGATGTCCTTGAGAGCATCCCAAATACCAGAGCGGCGGAAGACCTTGGTGCTTTTCCCTCCCTGATCAGCATCAAGTGCTTCTTGAAGCATGACCTGCTCCTGCTCTGTGAGGAACTTGGCATCCTTGATACTGGAAGGCATCCAGAAGAGAACAAGAAGACCAATCATGACGTTGAAGGCGCCAACGGAAACAAACATGATGCGCCAGCTCTGGAAGCTGCTGGTTCGGCTGCCATGCTGGGCAGCAAAAGAGATCAGTCCACCAACAGTCTGGCCGATACCAAGACCGCAGTACCAGATACCGGTTCTTGGGGTTGCTTGTCTTCTGGTGTACCACTGTGAAGTGATCATGATCAAGGCGGGTGAGATAACGGCTTCGAACATTCCAAGAAGAGTTCTCGCAGCTGTCATACCAGGGAAGTTATGAGCAGCGGAAGAGCAGCAGATAACGATACCCCAGAGAACAACGTTGAGGCCAAGGACTTTGCTGACGGGAAACTTCTGGATCAAGACACCCTGAGGGAACTCAGTAACGGCGAAACCGATGAAGAAAGCGGTGGCCATCCAGGAGAAGTCATTTCCAGTGAAGTGGAGGTTCTCCGAAAGACCCATGATGTTGGCATAGTTGATGAGGACTTTGTCGAGGAACTGGAGGAAGTAGCAGACTAGCATAAGAGGAACGAGGTGGTAGTCGACTTTGCGGGTGATCGGCTTCAGGGATGTTTCGCTGATGACATCTTGGACTGAGCCTTTGGTGACGGAAGGAGGACGCATGATGTCTGGGATCTTCTCGTTGTCGGTAGGAGTCATGGTGAAGCTGCCAAAAGATGTTAGACAGATGCAGAAGTGCAAGTTGTTAGGTACTCACCTGTCCGATGCACAAGTAGTTGTTGTAAGTTGAACAAAGAGTCAGACACTTGAATGAAGAGTTCAATCGGTGGCAAGGTAGCGATCGGTAGACGAAGGCAGCCTGTACTGAAGCCAAAAGGAGATGCCTTGATGGGACGACAAGACAGGGTTAAGTACCTCGAGCCCGCGATACCACCTATAGGACATCTAGTAGCCAAACATGAGCAGTTGCAGTGTTATCTTGACAGAGTTCAAGTCATAGCTCCGAGTCTGGACTCCAAAAACCTGGGGAATGATGATACGTCGGTAAACTCTATCTAGATTGGGCTAGACCGCGATAAAGCTGCAACCGTCGGATCCTGATGGGCGGGACCAATGAAATCATGTGGATTACTTCCCCGCCCGTCGCTTCGAGGTCCCAGGAATGGTTCTTGGGTTCGTCGTGTTGATAGCGGTCCGCGCGGTTTGAGATAGTGGTCTCCAGCCTCAGTCGTCCGAGGGCGGAACAGGCTGGGGTTGGTATGATGTGAAACGAGAGTAATGACACAACTTAAGCGCCGGGCATAAGACTACGATACATATAATTAGAACTTCAATTACAATCTTCTCATTGAAACACTCAATCACATCTTACAAAGTACTTGATTGCATTCTGTAGCACCTCTCTGGATCTCTAAGCCAGACGGCTCAATCATAGCCTCACCTTATCCACACAAGCTCTTCAAAACACAACATGCCTGGACGAACAGAAACGTCTCTCTCAATAGGCATCATCGGCTCCGGTCTTGGTGGTCTTTCCGCCGCCATCGCCCTCCGACGAGCCGGTCACCAAGTCACTCTCTACGAGCGCTACGACTTTGGTGGCGAAGTCGGTGCATCGCTTTCAGTCGCCTCCAACGGCTCTCGCTTCTTGGAAGAATGGGACGTTGACATTCCCGCTGCCAAGCCAGTCATCCTGCGAAACCTCATCCGCCATGACTATTCTACTGGAGAAGTCGAAGGCACATACCCTTTGGGAGACTATCGCGAACGCTTCGGCACAGACTACAACAACTTTCATCGAATTGACCTGCATAATCACCTCAAGGACACTGCTCTATCGCAATGTGGTAAAGGTCGGCCTGCTGAGTTGAAGACATGGCACAAGGCATCCAAGCTTGACACTGAAACTGGTCACATCACCTTTGAGAATGGTAATGAGGCTACACATGATGCCATCATTTGCGCAGACGGTATCCGAAGCGTTATGCGGGAGCAACTTGGCGTTATTCCAAATTTCGTGCCCAGTACATCTTGCTGTTATCGCTGCATCATCTACGCCGACAAGCTACGTGAGCTCGGCCTCGAGGAGTACATCAACAACGAGGCAATCGAGTTTTGGGGCGGTGACACAAAGACCAAGATTGTTCTATCAGCATGCAGCGATAACAACGTTGTTTCATGCTATTGTTTTTATCCAGCTGAGAAGAATGATACCAAGGAAGATGGCTGGAACATCTCCACCACTGGCGACGTCCTTGCTTCTACGTTCCCTGGGCTAGATCCCAAGCTCATCAAGCTCTTCCTCAACGCCGAAGACATCAAGATGTGGCGTCTATACAACCACGATCCCTATCCCTACTGGACCAAGGGCCGTTGCACACTGCTGGGCGATGCTGCGCATCCCATGATGCCAGATCAAAGTCAGGGTGCTTGCATGGCCATCGAAGACGCAGGCGCATTGGGAATCCTCTTTTCAAAGAAGTACTCAGACTTGAGTGTTGAGCAACGCCTTAAGCTGTATGAGGCGGAACGCAAGCCACGCGCTACAAGATTGCAAGAAGCGAGCAAGCGTGCGAGGGAGAACTTGAATGAAAGGATTGGTTGGTCGAGCAAGAACACGAAGCCGGGGATGTTGACGATTGATGAGGTCTGTGCCTATGATATGCATGCTCATATCGCTGGGTTGGTCAATGATGCGCAGGTCTCTTCGTAGATAGTGTTGGAGTGTATAGCCTGTTTAAAATAGTCCTCTCATTTGATAGCCTTCTATTTAAATGTTTCACGAGTACAATTGCGTCTTGTCGTAATATCTTGCATTGCTATCAGTATAGTGCTAGTCCGCCCATCTCCTCATACCGAATTCTCGCCCAATTAACCATACTTTCGGTTTCCCTTCTCTTCCAAACAGTCTCTACTAATTCGCGGCTCTGATGTACATATCCGAACCCACAAGTCCGCTCCATGATCATCAGCCTATCTTGTACAACCATTCTTTGCTCAAGGCAGTTGCATGCACCACCCGCCATCACCAGAGGAAATAGTAGGCAGCTCTCGAGGGGACTGCCATAACGGATTTTCTGTGCTGAGTCGAGGATGTGCTGGACACACTCGAATACTTTTTCTCTAAGTGAGTAGCCTTCTGTGATTTGGTGGAGTCGGAGGCGGAGTGCCCATTCGTAAGCGGTTGTTGCATGGAGTACGTCGTCATTTGTTGGTGACAAGGACGCGACGGCGCCTGCGAGACCACCATAGTCGTAGGCCCAGTTATCCAATCTCCCTTGAACTCTCTCAGCTTCTTCGCGAAATAGAGCTTCGGAAGCCTCATCAACTCTTGTTCCTCGTTTGCTGGCCAGATTGTTCACACGATCGACCATGTGAAACAGTTCTTTCGGTATTCCATAAACTGCAGCATCGTCGTTGCTGGCATCTTCAGTCGGCTCGGGTGTAGTTGCCACTGTCTTGTCATCTATCAGAGGAGGCTTGCACGTGCTTGTTGTCGCTGCACTATCTAGAAAGCGCGCCAGCTTGACAAAGAACTTGAAGTGACCTGCCAGATTACCACCGGTCTGAGACTTGACTGTTGACAGGAGTCGTTTTGCGCCTTGGAGATGAAGCTTCCATCCTGCTGAGGTACCATCGAACAGCTCCGACATACACAGAAGTAGGCAGGATACCAACGCGACATCCACTGAACCCCCATCTACATGAGGTAGGAGACCGGCCAAAGACTGCGTCGCTTGACCTTTGTGATACAGTGCTCTATCTCGCATGTCGGGTTGAAGCTTCTGCCAATGCGTTGCACTCAAAGCGAGGACGCAATGAAGGATGAGCTGATTTGAGACGGCCATGGGAACTAGATAACTGAGGTAAGGGTTTGATGTCGTATTTGGATGCCTTGATAGCACTGAGGCGACGATATTTGAGTAATGGTTTAGCAATGCTTTGTCGTGAGGAGATGTCATGTCCGGCACCAAACTCGGCGTATACAGAGTGAGCGTGGTATTTGGTAGACTGTCCGGTGAGTCTTCCGCAATGGGAGGTGTTTCCGGGAGAATATCAAGCCAGCCTGGGTCAGTGGTCAAGTCCCAGGATAGTTCTGGTAACGTCGCCGCCATGTCGACGTCGGCACCCTCTACAGGAACGGCTGTCGACATTTGGCATAGCAAGTCGGCGATACTCAGGTCCACGTTGGATTGGACTGAACCTGGCGAAGGATTTGGGCTTGGCGATGTCTCCGAAGACAGGTCGAGGACTTGTTCTGCGCTAAGCCATGATTCATTGGTCCAGCTGTTGAGCCTCGGTCTACTAGCCCTCTCTGTCGGCCACGAACAGTCGAGGCAAAGTCTCCTGCAATCGCCACAGTTGGGTTTCCTGTGACAATGATAAGATCAGGCTCGTCAAGACAAACGAGGTTGGTGCTTACCGCTCATCGCATTTCTTCTTACGCCTTTTGCACGTCAAACAACCTGTCTGCACCCTGCGTATCTTTGCTTTCGGCTGTCCGACAGAAATCCCATCGCCACCATCAAGCCCAAACTCCCCGGAAAGCGAGCCCGAGTACCCCTTTGGACGACAAGGTAGGCTCAGCCTACTGCACCGATCACACGGCACGCCACCCTTGCAGCGCTGCTTGATCTCAGCGCACCGTAAGCAGGTATTACTCGATCGCTCGCGCGTCGCCATGGTTTTGAGGTCAATGAGGAGGAGAAAAAGCTGGGGTAATGAGAGAGAGGAAGTATGGGTCACCCGGAATTAGGAACCGGCTCTCTCGTTATCTTGATAGCGCGTAAGTGCTAGACTGTTAACAGCTAGTTTGGTGATATGGTATCCGTCATATCAGGCGCTACAGTGGTACCAAGCGGGGTTAGATAGCGCTGTCGGGTATGGGGCGATAGGCCGCTAACAGCGAGGTCTTCAGCGACTGGGCTTGGCTTGAGCATCGCGGGCTCATCAATTCCTTGCTCTCCCTCAAATTGATTCACAGAGGCTCACGATATCGATGCTTATGGCATTTTCGGTTTAAGAGAATGGTCTAATTACACTATCTGAAACTATAGCTCGTGTAAAGCAGTCCGAATAGCACCAGCAGTCTGCAGAATAAACTCCTTCGCCTGCCAAAGATCCTTATCCATATGCATAAACGGATGCGGCACGCCAGGGAACCTCTTCAACGTCACCTCATTGCCATGCTCAATCAACTTCATTCCGTAAGCCTCACCCTCGTCCCTCAACGGGTCGGCGCCCGCTGTATAAATGACAGTCTTTGCGAGATTATTATAGTTGTCTGCCTTGAACAGGTTGCCATAAATCTCCGGTATTTGCGCACGCTTCTTAGCGATCTCTTCAGGTGTTGAGCCCAGCGAACTCCATTTGAGCTTGTCGAACCAAGCTAGGCGGCCCCAATTGAGTGTTGGCGCATGCTCATTCTCTTGCATGGACTTGAACGGCGAATCTGATGCTGAAGAGTATTGACTCAGGTCGTCAATCACTGGTGTTCCAACAGCGACGAGCTTGAGAGGGATTCCTGCATCGCGGGCCATGTGCGCCAGCGCAAGACTGATGAATCCACCAGCTGAGACTCCGCCAACAGAGATTCTCTCAGGATCAATGCTGAATCGCTCGGTGCCCTTCTCGTAGATGTACTTGAGAGCAGCGAAACTATCGGTAACACCACAAGGGAAAGCATTCTCGGGCACAAGGCGATATGCGACATCAATGACGGCGACGCCAGCGACATTGCAGATGTGCTTGCAAATATGACTCTCGGTATCCAGATCGCCTAGACCCCAGCCGCCACCATGGTAGTCGATATGTACAGGCCATGGACCTGCAGCGTCAGGCTCATACACTCGAACATCTAGGGTGATGCCCTCATGAGTGACGATCTGGGTATCGTATTGGCGCGCGACATCTGGTGCAGGGCCAGTGCCGTACGAGTAGAGAACTGAGTATTTCGATCGGAGGATGCCGAGATCAATTGGTTTGAGGGGAGTGTTGGCGACGTTGTCGTTGTAGAGCTTCTCAAAGACAGGGTCGAGTTTGCCCTTCATTGAGGGATGAACAGGCTGGAGAGCCTCATGCTTGGTGTCTTGTGTCATGGTGATTGCGGCAAAGATACGATATCGGGGATGAATGAGTTGAGAATGCGATAAATCGGAAGCGAGATCAATTGACTCTTGAATGAATCTATTCTCACCTCCATCGCATCCAGTTCCGGCGCATGTTCCAATGTTAATTGCCTTGTCGCAAGGATCATTAATTTCCGCGGTCCCCGCTATCTTACAGTGACAATTCGAGTTAGTCTGGCGCGCAATTCATTAGGCTTTTCCGACGGTTGCATAGCGGCGACTTCCGACGGACCCCTCACTGCGCTGGATGCACTGAACCGCGCTGCTGGGACCTCACTGTAACGTAGATAACCCCGATAAGAGCTTCATGACGTGTGATGCCGTCGCACTCACTTCAACTGCGAAGTGTCTCGAGGGTCAATCTGATATTATGAGAGAATAAACCCTGGTATTTCCCCTTGTTCAAAGCGACCAAAATTGAACACAAACCCAATTCATTGATCATTCTTTGTGTAAAGCTCACGTGAACATCACCATGTCCAAAGACCGTAAACCAGTTCTCATAATCGGCGCTGGGGTTGTTGGCCTTGTCCTCGCCCATGGCCTCAAGAAGGTAATCCGCCTCTCAAACCACCTCGTCAATCAGCCCGCTAACATGGATCATGAAGCTTGGCATTCCCTTTCAGATTTACGAACGCGACAGTCACATCAGCTCCCGCGGTCAAGGCTGGGCCATAACACTCCATTGGGTCCTCCCATTCCTCAGAGAACTCTTATCGGAAGAAGCATTCAAGGACGTCGAATCAGTCCAAGTCGACCCTGAAGCCGACCGTCAAGGGCTCGGAAAATTTGTCTTCATCAACCTTAAGACCCTGGAGCCGAAATTCCTCATTCCCCCTGGCGATCGACGACGAGTCAATAGAGAGAAGCTGCGCAAGGTCTTGCTCGAAAGTGTTTCTGATCACGTTAATTGGAACAAGCGACTTGCTTCAATTGAAGAGCGCGACGACGGCGTTGTCGCTGCGTTCGAGGATGGATCTCAAGCTGAAGGGTCTCTTATCGTTGGCGTTGAGGGCAGCAACTCAAGAACAAGGAAATTCTTAGCACCAGAGTCATACCGAAATATTCGACTGCCGGTACGATTTACTGGTGCTGCTCTAGATCTCACGCCAGAGCAGGTAAAGCCATTAAAAGACATCGATCCTCTTCTGTTCCAAGGCTGTCATCCTGAGACAGGGACGTTCTTCTGGTTCAGCATGCTAGAAACACCAGTCGTTAATGGTACTGCTGGAACAAAGGATGAGCATTATCGCGTACAAGTCATGATATCGTGGCCTATGAAAACGCCAGAAGACGAGGTCAAAGCCACCGACGCGGAGCGCTTGGCATATATGAAGCAACGCGCCACAGAATTCAATCCCGTCCTTCGGGACACTGTACAAAGAATTCCAGAGGGTTCTGAAGTGATTGAGATAGTCCTACAGGACTGGCCATGTCCACCTTGGGATAATCGCAACGGGAGGGTTACTCTAGCTGGCGACGCGGCGCATGCGATGACCATGTATCGAGGCGAAGCAGCGAACCATGGTATCCTTGATGCTTATCGGTTGACAAAAGCTTTGGAAGGAGTCTATCATAAATGGAAAGGGTTGAATGAAGCTATTGATGAGTATGAGGAGGAATTAAGGGAGAGGACCAAGGTTGCTGTGTTGTTGAGCCGACAGGCTTGCTTGGATGCTCATGACTGGGCCGGATTAAATGAGAACTCGGCTGTTTTGAAGAAGAGGGCAATTGCGGGAGTTTAGACGTCATCAATACAGGCGGTGAACACATAACGTTACCCTTATAATTTTTTTTTGGCAAGCTGTACCTCTAATCTAGGTAAATTGATATGGTTGTGCATCATAGTTGCCAATCTAGCTTTTGGCGTTCTATTCACTAATCTGGTACCTCGCTGCTGTTCAAAACCGTCTGACATTTATTAGATCATATAAAACTGCTTTATTTCTGTGTTTTTTACATGGTAACGCTATGATTGTTGACTGTGTGTAGGGTATGCTTTGTTTAACAGACCCATTGCTTGCTGAGTCCACAGGCCAGTGGCCGACCGTTCCTTATCATTATCGCTCAACTGATAGCGCCGATAAGATGTGTTATCGGTTAGTGGGGCAAGATCACAATAATCCGTCGCAACGTTAACAGGCGACGACAGCGCGTGAACTGGGAGGAGTATACCGAAAACAAGTGAAAAATTGGTGTAAATTTCGGACGAAATGCCCAACTGTTTGCTCTTGCGGAATCAAAGACAATCTGCTTGTGACGTCATGTCAGCATGAGGAGAATCAATCGGCTATCGGACAAAATCAGCGCCGCTATCCGACAGTGACGAGAGTGCGGGACGCGCTTTGGTCTGCAGCCGTCGCAAAGTTATCATTGCGACGGCCATGGCAGCGCTAAACCAAAAGAGGAACAGGCGATGAATACCGCGGGTGAGCTGGGCTGTCAATAGAATAGAATAGAATAGACCTCTGTACTGTATGTTCAATTATGACTGCCTTGATAGTCTTCTTTAAACATTTCCAATCATAAACTGAATCTGATTTTCAGCCTTATCGCAACCAGTCACTGAAGTTGTCACCGCCAAAATGCCTTCAGCATATCCCAAGCCCATTCTGCCACCATCTCTTGTCGCCGTCACTGGAGCCAATGGCTTCATAGCCCAACACTGTATCGCTCTTCTTTTGTGTGAAGGATACAAGGTCTTGGGCACCGTCAGATCTCAGACAAAAGTTGAGCAAGTTCTTGAACTACATGGCAGAGACCCCAATCTCTCTGTCAGAATAGTCGAGGACATCACTTCCGTTGAATCGTACATCTCAGCCTTTGGCTCCATCCGACCTGATGCAATTTTACACCTTGCAGCTCCTTTCCACTATGATACAACAGACTTGGAAAAGGACCTCATGATCCCTGCTGTCAACGGTTCAACGGCCATCCTCAATGCAGCAAATCAGCTTGGTGGCGTCAAGCGCATTGTGCACACCAACTCGTTTGCAGGTATCTACGATGCCTCGAAAGGACTGCAGCCAGGCAAGATTTATACTGCCAAGGATTGGTCTCCATTGACGTATGAGGATGGTGTAAACGCACCAGCCGCAGCAGTGGCATACCGCGCCAGCAAGACTGTTGCTGAAAAGGTAGCTTGGAAGTGGATGGAAGAGAATTCAGCTGCGCACTTTGATCTTGTAAGCTTGAACCCGGCTATGGTGTTCGGACCATTTCTACAAGGCGCTGTGCCCAAGTCATCAAAACATCTCAACACTTCCAACCAAATCGTCTATGGTATTGTCTCCGCCGGCCAAGACGGCGAGATACCTGCCACTAAAGGCCCTGTCTGGGTTAGTGTCAAAGATGTCGCTCTTGCGCACCTCAAGGCCATTCAGGTCCCTGAAGCAAGTGGTGAAAGATATCTTCTTGCGGCGGGAGTGTACTGTAACCAAGAGATCGCTGATGTCGCAAGGGAGGTTGCCGGCAAGAATAAGGACAAGATCCCCAAGGGATCACCGGGGCTAAGGGAGGCTTCTACGCATTTTGGTGTAGATGCAAGTGCAACTGAGAAAGCTTTGGGTATCAAGTGGCAGAGTTTGGACGACATGTTGTCGGGTTTGCTGCCGCAGCTATTTGAGATACAGAAGATGGACGAGTAGAACTTGGTAGACTGCGCAGAATGAGAAGCACGATTCATTGATGCTTAGCATTTGCTCATTGACCATTAAGCTCACATTTTGCTTTCCGCGGAATCAATTACTGTTCTTGGTCCATGATTGATGTCATGTTAGCGCATATCTTCCCCGCAACTCCCACCATTCCCGACACCATTACCAGGAACGGAAATTTACTCCTCCAGGTGCTTGGCGACACGTCTCAATCAGGAAGAGTTTCGCCGAAAAGCGAATCCCGCGGGCAATTTATCTAACAATAGAGATCAAAATCTGTTGAATATGGAGAAAATAGAGTCGTTTCATTGGTGCACGTCTTCGTTATGCGTCGGTGTTGTCGCCGCACTATTTGGCCCTCTATGTCGAAAGCTCAAGATATAAGATCCGACTCCTCGTGAATTCGAGATCGATCAACTCACCTCATCGTGACCCCTTCACAACCATGATTGGCTTTATTCTCCTTGGGGCCGGCCTTGCAGGCCTATTTATTCGTCTTGTCATCTACCCCATCATCTTGTACTTCATTGATCCAAAGGGTCTGAGGAAATATGCAAACTTCTCGTGGCTTTCTCCTCTAACGGATCTGCGCCACTGTTATCTCAGTCACACCGGCACTCGATCAGAGACACTTGCTGCTGAACATGATCGCCGTGGCGAGCACATTCTCAGAATCGGGCCCAATGCATTGTCATTCAGCCATCCCCAAGCTGTCAGAGACATTTACGGTCATCAGACAAAATGCACCAAAGATCACAAAGAGACAGTCCTGGCTGGAACGCATCGTAACCTATTTGATGTTGTTGACAAGGGTGATCATAGCAGAAAGCGAAGACTTTTATCTGCTGCTTTTGCGACAAGGAATCTTGAGAAGTGGGAGTTCAAAGTGCAGTATACCACGCAGAGATTGCTTGATGCTTTTGATCAGCGATGCACGGGACCTCTCAAGCCCAACACCAATCCTGACCCCGAAGATCTCACAATTGACTTCAACCACTGGATCAATCTCTGGACTATCGAAGCAATCAACTACATCGCTCTCTCCTCAAAGATGACTCTCCTCGAGACCGGTACCGATGAAGTCATTGCCGAAAAGCCCGACGGAACACTCTATCCCGCACGATATCGCCAAGCACAGAACGCCGCAGCCATGTGCAAGTCAGTCTTCGTCTGGGAGTACGAACTCTACCCGTGGCTCGCTCGCATCTCGAAAGTTGTCCCCAACAAGTGGAAGAGCTACTGGGCCACCAGTGCACCTTGGGGAGACGTTTGCTACCACCAAGCTAAGGACAGACTGAGGAGATATGAGGCTGGAGAGAAGCTCGATGATTTTTTCTCGTGTCTTATGATTAACAAAAACGGTGTTCCAAATGAGCTCGAGTGGGGAGAGATTGTCGCCGAGACCTCTGCTATCATTGATGCTGGAGCGGAGACTACAGCGATTGCCCTGACACATATCCTTCAACTGTTGATTAGCCATCCCAAGCAGATGCAAAAGCTGAGGGATGAAGTCGCTGCTGTCATGGATGAAGACGATGTCATCGCGCCATTTGACAAGGTCAAAGACCTACCATATCTCAAAGCCTGCCTCGATGAAGGCCTTCGCCTCATTCCTCCCGTCAGCTCAGGCCTCCCCCGACGTACACCACCTGAAGGCGCTAAAATCATGGATACCTGGATCCCAGGTGATACATCTGTGTCAATGACTATCTGGAGCGCTCACCACAATGAGGACATTTATCCCGAGCCATATGTCTTCAAGCCAGAGCGGTGGCTCAACCTGGAGGAACGTAAGAGGATGGAACCATTCTTCATCCCATTCTCAGCGGGCGCGAGAGGGTGTATCGGACGAAACATCTCGTACTTGGAACAGCAGATTGTATTGGCTACTTTGGTGCATCGATATGACTTTGCGATGCCGACTAAGGACTTCACGGTAGACAGGTTCGAAGCCTTCAACTTGATCATGGGCAAGCTGCCAATCAAGATCTGGCGAAGATAGTTCTCAAGGGAATCACCAACAACTCAAGTTAAAAATATCATTCTGATGCGTCATTTGATACTGTAGTAAGCCTTGGGAGTATTATGCCTGATAGTACGCGTACAGTATGTCTCTGGGCCCTTTCACCAATCATTGGCCTATAAGAACTTTCGACTGGCAGATAAGAAAGCTTCCAGTGCAATAAATACCTGCTACTGGTCACGCTCTCTGAACATAGCCTCGTATTACCCCGACCAATCTTACGCGGTGAGGCTGGGCGCTGACGGTTCCCATCACAAGTTCTTTCCGCTTACCATAAAATATCCCAAAGCATTCCTAAGGGTAGTATTTCTTACATGTCTCAGCTAAGCTTAAAATCTTGTGACTGAAAGAGTTTGTCTATATCACGTCATTTTCTCCTTTTGAGAACCTGACCGGAATTGATGCTGACAGGGATTACTTGGTATAAATTGATTTGTCTCCTCGTTGAATAGCAAAAGAAGAAACTTCACTTCAAGCAAGGATCTCTTGCATAGCCAATTCTCGTGTGCCTTCTAAAACTTTCCCTTCTTCAATATGGATACTTCTTCGAAAACGGGCTTTATGCGCGCTGTCCAGTGGGAGGGCAACGTTCGTGACATGTCTGTCAACATCATTCCACGCCCCAAGCTCATCGAACCAGAAGACGCAGTTGTTCGTATCACCACCTCCGCTATCTGTGGCTCTGATCTTCACATCTACCACGGTCTCTTCGGCACCGAAGAAAAGTTCGGCGTGGGTCATGAGGCTGTTGGCATCGTCGAGGAAGTCGGTCCAGCCGTGGACTTCTTGAAGCCCGGCGACCGAGTTCTGATTCTGGCTTTCGCAGAGGATGGAAACTTGCTACCCAAGCCTTCGATGCTTGTGACCGATCAGCCTATTATTGGCCTTGGCCTTGGTGGAATGTTCCATGGCGATACAGGACTACAAGGTGAGACCGCTTCCTTATTTATCTTTGTTTTCGTGCATCTGACGCTTGTGAATAGCTGAGTATGCTCGAATTCCATGGGCTGATTCATCCCTGGCCAAGCTTCCCGATAAGCTTGATGACAAGGAATGGCTACCTCTTACTGATGCCTTCCCTACTGGCTGGACCGCCATTGACTTCTCCGGCTTTGAAGCTGGTGATACTGTCGCTGTCTTCGGCGCTGGTGCCATTGGACTTATGGCTGCATACAGCGCCATAATTCGTGGCGCCGCTCATGTCTACGTAATCGACCACGTTGCTTCTCGCCTTGCCAAGGCTGCTTCCATTGGTGCGCAGCCCATCAACTTTACCCGAGGTGGTAAGGCATCTGATCAGATCCTGGCTTTACGCCCCCAAGGAGTCACTCGGGCTATCGACGCCGTGGGTGAAGTCTGCCTCAACGATGACTTGAAGCCGCAGCAGGACTACATCCTTCGTGAAGCTGTGAAAATCACTACCTCCGGCGGTGGTATTGGCGTCATCGGAGTACATATCACTGCATTGGTCAGCGAGTTCGGTGGCAGGGGAATAGTTCACAAGCCTGACTTGAAGGCTGAGATCAAGTTTCCAATAGCCGAGGCCTGGATCAAGGGAATCCGTATCCAAGGCGGACTTGTGGACATTAAGGGGAACATCAAGGCTCTAGTCGAGCTTGTGAAGAGTGGAAGGGCACGGCCTGGTTTCATCTTCTCAAACGAGTACAGCTTGGAGGATGCACCAATTGCGTATAGACGATTTGAGCAGTGGGAAGAGACAAAGGTGACATTGAAGGGAGCCCGCAAGCCAAGCGATGAACAGACCCTGGAGTTACGCAATGGTAGCAACGGAGCTTCAGGCACCAATGGTGCGTAAAGAATGGTCAAGAATGGAACTATTCGTGTATCTCCGAGCAGATTTAGTAGAATGAAATAACCTTGAGAGAATAGTTGATTGGAAACACTCGGTCGCATTTCGCTAGAATGTGCCAGACGTAGACGAAATATTCTTAGCGTGCTCTAATGAGGCAACATTATATTTACTACAGGAGGATGACAGTCACTGACCATGATCAATTACTATAACATAGTGGAAGAAATTGCCGGTAATTGAGTGTCATTTGGATGTTAGGTTGCAAAGGTGGTGCAGAAGAGAGCAAGATGAAAGCGTGGGGGACAGAAGATTGGTAATGCTATCATAAATTTGCATCTCCTTAACCTTAACAGTCTCAGTTCTACCTTGGTGACACTTGTACCATTTGAAGAACAGTATATTCTAATCACGAGACAAAGCGAGGATTTGTGTCATGCAGCTTCGTTTAGTTACTTCGCCAGAAGCATAAATGGTCTTTCGAACATCACATCAAGCCTCCAGCTTAATACAAACCATTTCAGCTCCCGCTGGGCGCATCAAACCTAGCACCGATTGTTCGATTCTTTGAAGAGTGGCAACACATAGAGCATGATGGAGCAAACACTAGGTGCCGAGAGGGTGGAAATGCGTAGCCCAGTTCAGAAGAGAATAATGCAATACTGAAATGAGGGCTACTAAATATTGGCATTTGGCATGCTTGTGAGATGTTACCTCCAAGCAGGGAAGCATTACATACATTTTCGGCTGATCACCGCTATCTATATGATACAACGCAAATCGAAGTAAAGGAAATTTAGCTTGTCCAAGATAGATGTTTGGAAGCCACGAGACTCAGTGTTCGCGCTTCCTGTTAACTTTTTGTGAGCCTCGTCCAAGTAGGAAATATGAAAATAAAGAAAGATAACCCGACCAGTAATAAGACAACCCAGTTAAGATACCCAGCTGTCACACTAGGGTCATTGCAAAAGGCATAGATCAAAATCCCCAGTGATAAAACTGTCGCTTGTAGAAGGCAAGAAGCCGCTTCTGCAACTCCATTGAGCAAACCAAGCTCTTGAGGACAGGGCGAAACCTCTTGCAAGCCAACGTAGACTGCCGTAACTGTCATGTAGACAACGGGCCCCATGATTGTCATCACGCCCAAAACGACCCGAAATAGGTAGAAATCAGGTTCGCTACCAGAGCGAACAAATGCATTCGTGATGCTAAGACTCAGAAAGAGGAAAGTAAAAACAAGTGGGCTTGATGAGATGATGTTCTGTGTACCAAAATGTCGGTATAAGGCTGGGTATATAGAAAATAGCCAGCATGCTGCGAAAGCGACCTGACAGATCATGTACAGCGTAACTTCGTGACCTGGTAATTCCAGGCCGCCTTGGCTGATGTCTGTGTATAGTGCGAGGGTTTCCACGGCCGTGAAAGCAGAACCCAACAGGCTTATGTTGATAAACGATGAAACCGTGTTACTGGCACCGGGAGACCTGAGTAGTTCGCGAAGAGATGTCCTGGTTGGAGGAAGAAAGCTCGCAGACTGGGTATCTTCCGCGGCCTCGTTGGCATCCTCCATGAATAGTGTAGCGACGATGACGCAAGTTGCACTCGTGACGCCAATCGTAATTCCTGGGAGACAGAATGGATGCTGGCCAAGAAAAGAAACGGTTTTGAAGATAGTTGAGTATTGACTGAAATGGCTGGTAAGAGCATGGCCCATGAGAAGTCCGGAGGCCATCCCGACATTTCCAGCTAGGGAAGATAGGCTGAATCCACGAGTAGCCTCTGTCTCCGTCATGCATCGTTTCCCGATCATGACGCGGATGACGACGTCCCCACCTGAGACCAGTCCCATGAAGCACCGGCAGAGTGCCATTTGCCAGACTGAGGACGTAAAGCCGAAAATGACCGAGCTGATAGCCGTGCCAAGAAGGATAGAGACCAGTATCGACTTGTCACCGAATCTGTTTGCCATGATGACCCAGAACATCGATGTCAGGGCCTGTGCAGCTAAGAATAGTACTTCAAAGAAGCCTATGTATGTACCGATATTGGTGGCCCGTGAGCTTCTATTGTGCTGTATCATCAGAGCTACGTATGGGAAGATGGAGAAGTATGCCATCGTCACCATAAAACGCGCGTAGCACAACAAGGGAATTTGTATCTTGATTCGCAAGCTCTTCTTTGTCCCTCGTCGCTTCTGGTCATTTCTGAGAACCAAAGGAGGAAACTCGGTCAAGTTACTGTAGGGCGTTGACGTTCGGTCGGCGGACAGCAGAGGCGTAGTCGGATTCATCTTGAACAGATGAGCTGGGCAGGCAGCCCGTGCCTATGACATCGGTCAGGGTGTCAAGTACGTTGCTCAAGGGTGCTGGCCTGGCCCTCCGTTTGACCAACGCGAGAGATAGAAGAAAAATGAGGGATTTCGATAATGGAGATGACATATAGCTAGAGAATGGGGAAGAAAATTGGTCTAGCGGCTTTGATAGCCTTGGAATGTCGTGAAATGATAACAGGATATTTCCGGAACATGCTGATAGTGATGATTGGTTGTGCTGGGCGCAACACGGGTTTAGAAAAGTCAAACTGTTAAAACCGAAGGTACTGACAGAGCAGACGAATGGTCGAGACTCAAACAAAAGAGTGTCTAAGACAAGCACGATGATACCACTGGCTACCAAAGTTTTAAGCTTTTGACTACGAAGCATCCCGGTAGATCACACAAAAGACAAAAACGGCCAAGGAAGAGAAATGGAAATCCGACTTGCCGAGGGAAAGTTTACTGGCCCGTTGCCTAGTTCCTCCGGCGAAGGTGATGAGAATGTCTCATCATAGGTCCCTGGCTAGCCACTGGTTACTGTTTGCCAGTTTGGTGCCTGAATATTTATATCGACTGAGATTTACCTTTTATCCGTTGTCTTCGGTTTTAATGCGTAGGAACGTGTAGACATGCTTAAAAAACTTCTGAACAAAACTCCCCTTTACGATAGCATATTCTATAACTGGTTATGGCTGCAGCCACTGCATTTCGCGGTCATTCGTTCCTCTAAGTATTTTAATTCGGTTCATTCCTGTAGTTGAGTATCACTAAGCCTTCATATCAAATCTATGGTAAATTTTCAATCAATTACCTCTGATCGAAAAGGACAGTTTCTCCGACCTGTCTGTTCGCAATGTCCCTTCAGTAGTGTTTTGACCGATATCGGGTTTTGATCTCACAGTTGGTAATTTGGCCTATCGCCATGGGTATATGTGAGAGACCTACTGGCATAATATGTCATTCAGTGGATTCTATGTATTCTTTTCTTTCTCAAGCTGGAAAGAGGATCCAATGAGTCATTCAGGTTGACAAGCCGCGTGAGTCATTGAGCACCACCAGTCAATCAGCCCAAACTCCACTTGTCATGAATAGGGCGTGGAGCTACTTCATGAGGAAATCAGTATAAATAAACGGAACTCTCGAAAAGACCAGTAATCTGAAAGACTACTACATGATACTTAGTTCTTTGAGGGATTATAAATTGAATTTCAGTGCCTCTACCAATATTGAACATTCATTATTCGAGATGACCTCCTCACCCGAAATCCGTCCGGCGTCTTCTCAAGGTACTTAGTTGTAAACACGACTGTTGTCCCTCGACTAACCTTTCACGTAGATATTCCTACTATCTTGAGTTTAATCCGTGCTGGCGCAGAAGAGCAAGCTCCAGGAACCGTTGTCACTGCAACCGAGGAACGTCTGGCAAGGACACTCCACTTGACAGACGTCACCGGCTCTCCCGAGTACCGTATCGGACATCCTATATTGGCCTTCTCACCTGATGGGAAGCCCGCTGGACTGTTGATTTACTTCTTTAACTACACGACATGGGGAGCTTCTCCTGGAGTCTGGATGGAGGAGATTTACGTCGCCCCGGAATACAGACCTCACGGATACGCGCGGAAGTTGGTCGAAACTATGACATCAGCGGCCAAGAAAGCGGGTTGCGTAAAGATGGAGTGGCTCTGTTTGAAGGATAACGCGAGAGCATTGAGATTCTATGAGAAGCTTGGCGCCAAACGAGTGGAGGATTGGACGGTGCTGAAAGTTGATGAGGCTGGAATGGATCATTTGCTACAGTGGTTACTGTTGGCCACGCCCACCAGTGAGAAGAATACATTTGTAGCCACAGATCAACAATTAATTATTCCCACGGCTTCACTCAGTAACGAATGGCTCCTACACAGTAGAGATGCTTGTGGTATTAAACACCAGAATCCTCCTGCTCGATCGACGACTCACTCTGGAAAGTACTCCAGCCATCGCAAACGTCCGAAACATAGCTCGATGTAGAGATGTCAGCAATCTCGCTTGAACGCTCGAGGAACTGCAACGCGAATCCCTCGGATGTATGCCAACCTGAAGTTTCGCAAAGTCAGTAATGCTCCAGACCTAAGATGTCCTTGACTTACCAATATGGCAGTGGCATAACCAAACGCCAGGATTGTCAGTCTCCCAAGCCATCACCAGATACCCGTTGGCAGGCAGCATAGCTGTGTCTCGTCGAGGAGGGTTATCTGTGTTCAGGGTTATAGAGGAAGAATAAGTACCCGTCCCTTGGGCCAAGATAAAGAAGTCGTGTCCGTGGAGATGAATGGGATGGGGTACTGGTAGAGTCGTCTCAATAACGAAGTAGACCCATTGGTTCCCGTCGCTGAGTTCAATGACCGCATCATCGGTCTCAAAGTCAGTTGTATCGTTGAGGACCTGGGCAAGTGTAGGGTTTGCCCAGTCCACCAACATACTGGTGCTGTTGAGCATCCACTTGAACAGACCAGCTGTGTTCTTGCCAACTGTAGCCGTCTCAAGATCATTCCAGTTGGCATCTTCAACTGTCTTGGATATGTACGGTACGATATTATCCGTCTCGTCATCGCAACCGTCGGTGTAGTCGTAGGCAGTAGTGGATGGCGTGCCGGGGCTGTCTCCATAGTAGACGATGCCCTTGATGTTATCGGTGGAGTCGTTATCGGAACAGGCGGCCTGTGGGATGGCGCGCATCCAAAAGTTGTCGGCGACGTCCGCTTGATCTGCAGTGACTACGATATCGTAGCGTTGTCCTACAAAGGTTAGTTACTTCTGAAAAGGATCAAGGGAGAACACTCTTACCCATGCCCAAGTCCAGAACTGTGGTTTCGTATGGCTCAATTGGTACAAGGTCTGCTGCGATCACAGTCAAGGTATGGTTGTCGATCGAGAACTTCCAGTGAGTGTCAACTGCGGCATTGACAAGTCTCATACGGTAGGAAGTGCCAGACTCAAACGATACATTGAAGCGAGTGCCTGTTTGAGAAGAGCTGTCGTCGTCCCCGTAGACGTTTGTACCGTTGATGAGACCATTGTCCAAGGTGGGAGGTCCATTGGTCTCAGCCGAACTGTACAACTCATCGACGGTCTGATGATCCCAGTCATTGAGAAACACCATGCCAAGATCCTCATCGTAGTCTGCCGTGGCAGGTCCGTTGATGATGATACCGCCGAAGATGCCTTGCCACGCCTGCAGAGCCCAGTGGGAGTGATACCAAGTCGAGCCATACTGGGTGGCCTTCCAGGTATAAGTCACAGACTCCCCAACGGCAAGGGGGCATTGAGTGATAGATGATACACCATCATACTGGTTGGTGTAGTTCTGACGAATACCATGCCAGTGCATGCTGGTACCATTCAGAGAAGTGCTGAGAGAGTTTGTGACGTGAATGACAACAGTGTCACCCCAGTCAGCAAAGAGAGTAGGCCCAGGAATGGTACCGTTGACGGCCATGGCTGAACGAGAGTAGCCATCAGGGGCAACAGTAACGTCCGTCAGCTCTAGCCAGTACTCGCGAGTGACGCCAGTATCTACAGCTTCAGTGCTGTAGTCCGTGTCAATGGAGTAGTCGCACCACTCCGAGCGAGTAGAAGCGGTGTTTCCACTGCAAGCGCGGCGGTTCAGCTGGTGAAGAGGGCTTCGAGCGTGAACTTGGCTGAGGCAGAGAATGCCAGCCGGGAGAAATTGCAAGAGCTTCATTTCTACCGACACAAGCTGAAACTCAACCAAGGACTTCAAATACACAGAATTATAATGCTAGAGGAGATAAGAAAGAAGTCTGAATGATTTGTGTTATTTTTCATTTCTATTCTTCCTCTACAGCCTATTCTTAAATATTTCAGTCCAGCCCTCGAGCTGTCCGTTTAGGAAGCTCACCTGCCCATCGTAAAAGAGACCTATCATTCTGCAAAAGAACTTCTCGTATCACGGACCTCTTACAGGTAGACTATTAAGACAAGTCGTCGTCACTGCCAGAAATGAAGCCTCGTGAACACGCTCGGGCGTTTCACAACTGCCGGAACGATCACGGAGGTTTACAAGCACCGGTCGCCCACATTCCGTGCCATCCGCATAGACTTAAAAAGAACTTTAGTAGTGGAACAATCTCGTGAGACGATAAGAAACACCAAAGAACAAATAGGATTGGCTGAAGGACGAATTCATTGTCACACCGCAGCGGATCGGTCCGTCCGGAGGATGCCAGGAATGGAAAAGGCTGTGCTCGCCCGTGCTTCCGCGTCAGCGTTTCGTCGGCAATAAGACCTTGAGATATCGATAAACGCTCCGTTATACCGATTACGTATTCAATGGGGCCTCGTCTTGTGGGCTCACAGCCACAACACCCGTATTGGTCTATTAACGCGTCTTGTTATCATATAATCTGGTTAGTTGCCCCATTCTTCTCCATCATATCAGCGATACAGTGTTCTGAAAAATGTATCATCTTGGACTCACCACTTTTGCAGCGTCGCTTCTGGCGACTGCTGCTACTGCTGCTACTGCTGCTAGCGACACCGGTCCCTTTTCTCTTTACGCTTATGGAACTGGGGTTGGCGGTCTTCCCATCTTTTCTTCCGGCGGTACGTTATTTGTCCATCGGCCTGTGAGACATACTTATTCAAACCATTAGATGAGATCTTTGTTGGAAACTTCAGCAAGGTCGATGACGATGAGGCCGCCCCGATTCTGTGTAAGTAAAGTGTCTTTCCAGTTTGAACACTATTGACACCTCTCAGTTACCATAGGAGATGATGCGTGGTATGCCTCTCCAAACACGACTGGCTATGCCAAAGGACGTGATCCGAGCTGGTCCAACCTTACTTTCGCTGTTCCGGGACCGTCATCGTCTTCTCATAGCGTCAAGTTGATTAACAGCACGGCCGATGCCGACGGTTATGTATTGGATCTGATGACATATGGCACTTTTGTCATGGTCGAAGAGAATGGACAAATGACTTCGCTTTGGTATGCCACGCCATCGGAGATCGATGGTGTTTATGTCATTGGTTGGAATGCTTCAGATGCTGGCCAATCTGACGATAAGGTCGCCATTACACTCAAGAAAACTCCTCCGTCAAACCCAAGCCCCAGGGATCAGTGAGTCACTGAATGATATTTTGACGACAGGGTGGACTCTTGAGGGTTACCCGCAGCGCCCATCCTTTCCCACAATTCATCTTTTGAGAGTGAGGGAACTTTCTTCGAACGGCTGGTGGTTCGAAACAAACTTTCAATTCTGGAGCAGATGACATTAGTATGAGATCAATATAGAAATACCGATGATACGTGCCCAAGGCCCTAGTTCCAAACATTAGTAGACACTTGATGAAGCCTGAAGGAGCAAGGAAACTTTTAGTCCTTAGTACAAGGAACAAAAGCAAGTAATCTAAGTTTCTGCCAAGTCTATCCTCAGTACTCCCGATACTTCTAGGTATTGTATATAGAAGATGACCCAATATTGCTTGCCTCTGTTTGTGAAGAAGAACACAAGAATCAAGCAATGGTGGTTAGTATCAGGATGGTCCGAGTCTTAATTACTGTTTCATGCATCTGCCGACTGGCGAAGAGAAAACAAAGTGCATAAGCAAAGTTCAAACTGGGCTAGCCTTTTGAATGTCTTGACTCGGTTAGTCTCGAGACATTATGAGACGTTACTAGAGTTTTTTACGTCACGTGTGAGATATCGATCTGTTATAAAGAGAGCCGCATGAATTTGTTTGTTTATTGGCATTTGACTCTTCCAAGATTTGTTATACCTGGTGTCATTGAACCTCCAGCTTTTGTTTCTGACCATGGAAGCGCCAAAGGCAGTTGGGTGGACAACTCCGACAGCAACACCATCCCTGGGTACGGGTCGAATTGTGTTCACCGCCGGAAGCACTATCGTGATTGATGCACCTGCTAAAGAGGTGTTCAACGCCATGGTCGATTTTAGAAGATACAGCAAGTGGAACACTTGGACTCCCAGACTCAAATTCATCGATACTGAGGCTTCAGAAGCGGTAGAGCCAGGAGTCAACGGGATTCTGGAGACTCTGACCGATAGCGGTGACAACATCATGAAAATCCCAATTGAGGTATGTCCCAGTATATAAGGTCAGTTATGAGCTCTATCTAACGCGGATACAGATCCTAATACTAAGCCACGGAGAGCAAGAATCTAAGCTGGCATGGAAGAGCAATTACCTACCCTGGTGGGCTGCAACCATTGAGCGGGTACAGGTTGTCACTGCCAAGGGGCCAGATGCGTGTGAAGTCAAGAACTGGGAGTCTATGGGTGGCCTTGCTGCATATGCGATGAAGCTCTCGTGGGTATCAAAACAGCTTGAGACAGCTAATGTGCGGTACCTTGACGAGCTTGCGGCTTTTGTGAAAGGTGATGTTACCAAGAAGGCTGCGCCTGCGAAGGCTTGATAGTAATACAACTGGGCCTGGGATAATAATGAGGATGGAAGGAAGAAGAAAAAGAACATCAAGCATGTGCGCTGGAAAGAAACAAAAACCATGCTACTCGAACGCTACAACATCATCGGCAGCTTTGCTGAGAAGATATGTGACTTAGTACTCGGGTTCTCATGTAACAAATCAAGGTCAGATCAGCGACTTCATGCAGTAAAAGGCATCAGATGACATTAAAACCAGGACTACATTATCATACTCATACTCATAAAGTCCTTCTCGTTAAACCCAATTTAAGAAGACTCCACATCCAGGCCTTTGGTGCTCTGGTCTTGCTCCTCTCCGTCAGGCTCCGTGCAGTATTATTAGAAGAAGAAGAAGATCCTCCTTCGCCGTTATTGTCCCAGTGTCCCAGTACGTGTTCAAGCAATGTCGAATTGCCAATCGAAGTACCAAATATATCCAGAAGCGAGCCTTGGTTGGCATCCAGCAAGCCACCAAGGACATCACCCAGCAGAGTGATCACCGGGAAGGTGAACCTGATATGCTTGTTGTTCAAGACTCCTTCGATGTACTTGATGTGCTCACCACCGGCAATGGTGGTGTTTCCTGTTGCGTTAAACTCCAGGTAACCGTTGCCGAGAGGTCCCTTCTGCATATCTAGGATCTCGGAGAGATTGGGGACCAGCTGGTCGAAGTAGAAGTTTCCATCAAAAGGAACAGAGTTATTACCGGGCCAGAGCTGCAAGTCCCAAAGATTGATGAGACCGAGTCTAATGTCGCCTGACATGACGTTGAATGTCAGATTGCCGAGACCAAGTCGAAGGACTCCAGCGTTGGGGATGTTTAGCATTCCCTTCATGTTGCTCTTTGTCGTGCGATTCGAATTCAGATCAAAGTCTAAGCTCTTAAGCGCAAAGCCGTCAAGGTAGTTGAGAGACGCAATCTCAACAGTCTTCTTCAGACTGCGGTGATACTTCAAAGAGCCGAGCCTAATCTCTGGCTTGCCCTCCAACGACAATTCGGCATCGGGTTGGTCGAAGAAGACATTGAACCACTTCGTCAGCTCAGTCTCATTTGTCACCAGGAGTGTCTGGTTGGTGACGGTGACATTAGTATGGCTCTTGATGTGCACTTCGGGGAACTTGAGCTTGAAGAATGAGGACACGGGCTTCGTTTCCTTGCTGTAGAGCAATAGATCCATTGGCTTGAGAGTCGCAGCGATTGGCGTCTTCAATTGCGTCTCGATACTCATGTTGACTTCGGATGGAGAAATGACTTGTAAAGCGCCGCCGTTAATGGGGAGCTTCTGGTCATTGAGAATGTCTTGGACGATTGCGGGAATGATGACAGTGAAGCTGGCGCATTGTCAGAAGAGATTCTCACTCAATTGATGGGACGAGACTCACAGTAGTGGCAGTAAAATGGCGAGAAGAACCGCGATAAGTAAGAGATACCACCATTTGTATCGCCAGAAATGACCCTTCACCTTTTGCCATTTGGTTGGGCCTGCAGCGACCTTCTCATCGCGAACATGGTCGTCGGAAGAGGCGTCGTTGCTGGCAGCATCAGCAGCCGGCGCGTTCTGTTCGCCGCCAGCAGCAGCATTTGTCGTCTCTGCAGGCGCAGAAGTATCAGCGCCCGCCGCTGTAGGTTCTCTCTCAGAAGCCATTGTAATCGAGCGAGACAAGACAATTGACCGCAAGCAATTGTGACAATCACCAATGCCTCAGAGGAAGAATGGAATGCTCCACAGACGACTCAGACTTAAGGCAGAACAGCGAGGGTCTTAGGCCAAGACCTGCCCTGAATTTGGTCGCCCAAGCGCGAAAGACGGGCCTCTAAAGTTATACCAGGGTACGCCAAACTATCGAATGCACTAACCAGGCCATCCCAGCTGGTGCCGTCCTGGAAATTCTGATCTGCAAGCGGGGTATAGCACTAAGAGGCCGGGGGGCCAGGGTGTGAATACGAACCAGACTCGAATCTGATAAGTGATGGACAGACGATCCGGCACATGATCACTTCCCCTCACTTTCTCTGCAGAGTAAAGTGTGTGCATCGAACAGGTTTGTCAAATCCCCAACGAGTCTAGTTTGCGATAGTTCCCATAGCTTTAGTTAGGCCTTCAACCGAAAGCCGAGAGACATGCTTTGCATGTGTCAAGATTCTGGGGAACTTAGCTCGGGGGCTTGAATTGAAGACCTGAGAGAAACGGTTTTGGACAGGGTTGCGAGTAAGTTACCGGCGAGCCAGGCTCCCACGTCTAGTCAGGTTACAGGCTGCCCACGCCCCCCATG